CTAGACCATCACTGTCAAAGTCTGCTAAATTCCATATTAGATTCGTTTATTTGATTTATAACACACAGTGATCTAGTATTATTTACTTGATGATGTTTCGAGCATAAATTATTGCTCATAATCATATCAATGTAATCACACGACTTTCAAAATTTGATTTTTATAGTTACGTCACCTCATATGGTTTGTTTTATTGGTAGTAAAATCTTGTTCATCGAATCAACACCCAACACATGTAATAGAAATGACGCAACATCTATACCACAGATATGGAAGATTTTACTACCAATAAAAACAAACCATATGGTGTGACGTAGCTATAAAAATCAAATTTCGAAATTAGTGTGATTACATTAATATGATTATGAGCAATAATTTATGCTCGAAACATCATCAAGTAAATAATACTAGATCACTGTGTGTTATAAATCAAATAAACGAATCTAATATGGAATTAAATTCCAAAGTGTGTTAAACACAAGCAGCTCACATTGTATACACGAGTTCAACTGTTCTTTGGAAATAACCCATACAAGGCTATTCCCTTGAGTATCTTTCAGTACATTCAAGTTTGGCATAGAGAATGGGTCACTAAGTCTATTAATGGTGTCGTTTAGTTTCGCTTAGTGAACAGGTAGCATTACTTTAAGGTTGACAAAACTTGCTGTCACATACTGAACAGAGGAAAATTTGACAAATCACGAAACATTTAACCTCGAATCTTGTTTTGAGTTTCTGACTATGCTGAACCAATCGGTTGACTTTATCAAGAAAAATTCACAGCACTTGTATACCGTATAATGACTTACACTGCGTGTTGCAGTTAATTTCATTCTTCGTTTGCGTTACGTCTTTCCCTGATTTTTATATATCTATTCCTACACTTATTCACTAATTGACAAAATCTGCAAAATAAACGCACTCAGCCACCCTGTGCACATCCGTGTAGTAGGCAATGAGCCTCACCTATTGAGTCTGGGCAAGTGATATTACTTGGCTGCCCAAATCTCGGTAGGTGGGACGGGATTTGAACCCGAGACCCACTGATTGATAATCATCTCCGTAAACCACTGTGTCACAAATCTTACAGAAAGGCTTTTATCATAATGTTGTTCAAAAGCTGCTTTGATAAGTCTATGGGTTTTAACATATGGTAAACAGTCAGTGGATTATATAACATGAATTTCCGAAGTATGTATGAACTGCTGAATCTTACAAAACACCACCCACAATACTGCCAACATGATAAAAGTGGTTTCAAATTTTTAAATAGATAGTTTCAGTAGTGTGGATGTAACTTTATGGACACTAGGTACGTGACTTTCTATCCCAGTCATAAATAGGTTATGTTGCAAGTTCATACGTCTCTGAAATTCACACTTTCCAGTTGATCTTACGTCATCGCTCAGAGCTTGAAAAGCTCACATTCTCAACTGACTACTCCCAGCATGTTTTACTTGAGTTAGGTTAGTTTACAGTATTAAGTTTGTGAAACGACCACATTTTGATGGATCAACTTTTCAGAGAAGAATTCGTAATTTTGGGACGACAGTTAAATAAAAGCCTACACGAAGTAAATCTTTCTAGTGATGTTTGGCAAGGAAGCAATCCGTGTAATCTGTTTAATATGAGATATTATTTACTGGATGACGAGGCTACCGAGATCCTTCAGTCTAAAAAGTTTACAGATTTCGACGTCATTCTATTTCCATTCTAAAGAAAAATATTACTCCGAATTTTCGACTACTTTCTATGTAGTGATACGAGCAGCACGGAGAAGCGATTGGAGGGTGATATCTAAACGTTGGAAGTTTTAACCAATTTAATGTTATAATAGACTAAGAAGTGAAAAACACGTAAATAATACTGCGATAAATGAAATAAATTTGGTATTTTAGGAGAAAGCTAGACTGTTCAACAAAACGTATCCGAAGATTACACACTTTTTCTTCATGGTTTATTGGATTTTATAAGTGCAGTAAAAATATTTGCCAAAACTGGTCTTGAGTGTAAAGTCGTTTTCTTGTATGTGCACGACGACCGTATACAGCGTTGACGAATGCACTGTCTTAGGGAAGCTTTTTAGTAACCTATGAATACTATTTAAGAGGATGAATAAGAACACCTAAAATTCATCTAGCAACACACAAACAATACTCAACGTATAACAGAAGGCAGAAATGAAGTTGCAAGTGCATTTGCGTAATGGCACGTGAACCGTTTTATGAATAAAAGCACCTAAACAGGTTAAGAAACATCAGCACTTTGCCCGCTTTTGAAGATTTTCTCACTAAATCCGTTCCTAACACATAAAGTGCTTAGACGCAGATCTCCGACTCCATTTTTCCAAAAATCGGCACATTTATCATGAGATTCAGTGCTCGACTGAATATTTTAACCATATATCCGCAGTCAATTATCCGAAGGTAACTTATAGGATTAATGAAGTCGAGAGTGAAACAGATGCCCAGTGACGACACTAAACCAATAGGAAAACGGAAATAACCAGATTAAAAACCTAGTGGTTAGATATCAACGCATTCGCTGTGAAGCCTAAAAGTTTTAAACTTAATTCAAAATTTGGTAAACGCAAACTACTGAGAAGTTTCAAAATAGGATGAAGTAGACATCTAGTATTCTAATTTACGAACTGTTTTTAGTTGACTTAAATCCCTGATGAAAGTTATCATGAATCAAAACTAATTCTTAACCGATTTATATGAAAACTGTTATTTCTAATTATCTGATGATATGGGCGTATATAACTGGCGACTTAAAAGAGTAGTATGAACGTGATAGAAAACATTTGTAGCTGAAGATGATAGTGGTTTAATGTTCTCTGAACTTTAATGTTTCGTTGCGGACGTTTCATCGCCAGGGTTGGTGACATCCTCAGAAGTAAATTGAGAAAGAAGTTAGTGTTGAGGATGTCACAAAGTTTGGATGTGAAACGTCCACGACAAAATATCAAAGCGCAGAGAACACCAAACCACCATAATATGTACTTGCCTACATTGAAAAAATCGTAAAGTTTATTGTCATACTGCATTAGTAATGGCTAGTTCATTGTCGAGAATATCAGATCGCAGTATGCACCTAAGAATTTCCCATTTAGCTTAACATGCATAAATGTCTTCACAAACGTCTATAGCAGAAAAAATGAAGTGTAAAAATTACACGGATACATTATGCTTAATCAAGTTAATAAATCACTGTTTGACATTAATTGTTGACAGCCTTTTTCACGCAGATCGATCGAAATCAATATACAGTAGTCCAAATATGACCTATATATGAGTACGGGAAATGTAAGGGAACAAATATTGTTTTCAATTAGATCTCAGGTTTTACTCCATTACAAATTACTTTACTTGTACATAAAACATTAAACCAACCATAGTTAATTCGTTAATCTGTGGTAATACGGTAGTGATGTATGCAGATAGTAACCATCAAAGCTTTTGGAGATCTGGTTGAAAACAATATTATTCGCTTAACAATTTTAAAACTCAGTTTGTAGCCGTAAACTCAATATGCTTAAGATCTAAGCATGTGATGAAAAAAACTAAGGGATACAGACAAAAGTTCACCGAATAGTGGTTCAATATCAAAAAATATGTTTCATAAAATAATTTGAAGCTATAAATTAATTGGTCGGTTGCCCAACTAACGAGTAATCAACGTCATTCTCACAGAAAAGTATCGTTAGACTGACTTGCAAAAATTTATTGGCTACTTATTAACTTAACCATTGTTCTCCAGTGACGAGACGATTCATAATATATTCTTACTTGCAGAAAATTTCTAAGTACTTCACCGCCATGCACTTTAACGCTATCTGCTGCGCCACCAAAACAGTGATCAATCCATAAACACTTCTGATCATATCTTAGGCTTAACTTTAGGAATTGTCACTGTACGCCATACAAGGTTCGATGTTCAAGATTATCAATAATATTACGATTATTTATTCACTATGCTCCATTAAACTGAAACTTTCCCAAGTGTATAGGTTGTTCTAAGTCAATCAACAGTAAGACTTCTTCGTTTTTAGCACTCACAAGCAAGAAGAATCATAGGCAGCCTTAAGGACACTGATTATCTAGTATATTCAACTCTACATTACTGTGATCACATCGGAAACTTCACTAAAAAAGGATGCAGATCGTGACCTACTCTCACTAAAACTGGATTATGTGCATGAGTAGGTTGCTATGTGGTAATGAGTGCAGCTACAAAATCCTAAATACTAAGCAAACCAACTGATTAAGTTTGCAAAGTGGCCACCTTTTTCATAGTACATATCTGTTCTACAGTTATTACAGTTATTTGGTTTTGTCCTAGAAATAGCAAAAGGTATTCGAAATGCACTCAGTAACTACCTGCACTTTCGTGCGTAGGGCAATGAGCCATACTGGTTGTGTGACGCTTAATGACATCGCCAGGAGGATCAGGGTTCGAATCCACGACCCATTCGTTGAAAGTCAACTACATAAACCAAAGCTCCACTTTTCCAAAGAAAACCAGAACAGTAACACTTAAATCACAACATTACAAGAATAACTCTGCTACCTGCCGTATCTTCAGTTTAGAGATGAGAACTGTGGTTCCCTAGTCTATGTATTCAGCTTCTAACCGCCGGGTCACGGGTTCGGACCCAGCCCTGCACGAACGTGTACAGGGTTATCAAGTAAGTTTCAATTTTCTTCTAGCTTGGAGATGATGAGCATGAAATAAAAGAGCTTTCAGCATTGTTTATTTTGGGGAAACGATCAAAGATGATATATTCATTTAGGCACTGAAATGCACTGGAAGAGGTTAACCACAAGGTATGACAAGGGTGGATTAATCATCATCAAACCATAAAATATGTCTGATTAGTAAGTAGACAAGAAATATACAGCAGGAGAGTAAACAAAAGATTACGAAACAAAAAGAAAATATACAAATTTCCATGAATAAAAAATAAGTTTTGTACAATATGTATACATCTCTTAGTTTTATTCACGCGTATATGAATCGACTAAACGTGTTTGTACAGACTCCAAAAAATCATTCCATGTCTCCACTTCCATAAAACTATCTAATGGATGATATTTATGAGGTAATAAAGACTTCACAAGTTTTTCTAGTGTTTTTGATTCATAGGAATTAGTGTTAGGCGCGTCGATAATACATGCTGCATATGTATTTGTATACTGTTTACAATGTGCTAATGGATTGACTTGTTTCATTGCAGAAGTCTGCAAGGGGTAATCGGGTAATGTGTAAATTGAACGAGCTAATCCTGATGCACATAAAAATGGGATATCTAAGCTATCTACTGAATTTTTAACAAACTTATTGGAATCATTTGTTTCATTGCATATCTTCCACAAACTGTCCATTAGTATAGAATCTTTTATTCCTCTAGACGTAAACTGACGCCAAAGGACAGGTTGAGGTGACATACTTTCACCAAATATTCTCTTTCCTTGATTATAATAAGGATTGAGGTTGTACCAGGATAGCTGATCATCGCTTGCTGTATCACAACAAACACCAGTTTGTACAGTGAGCATCTGATATCAACAAAATGAGAAGAATAAAAAATAGTAATGATAAATCATTTCCTTCTGATGACATACTTTTTTGTGTTAGGCTTTACACAATCAAGTGTGAGAAATGTAATCAGTTAAGAGATGGTAGCGAAATTCAATTGTTTGAAAATCTTCATGGCAAGTGATGAAAATTATTTGAAAAAAAGTCAACGAGAATGAGGATTGATATCGAAAGTCGTCCAGACTTGCTGGAATAATCAAGTGAGGCAAAGCATTTATCCAGCCAGATTACACACTACAATGAACAATGCGAAGGGATAAAAAAATCTCACTTGACACATAATTATTCACCGAAAATGAATATCACTAAAACAATCTTCAGTTATATTCTATCTGCAACAGTTTGTATATAAGCAATGGACTTATTTCACTGAATCACACAGTCAGATGACAAGACAATCCATCCTCTAACATCTACATATTTTTGAAGTGGAATTACAACCACACTCCAGGAGTAATTTAATAAACTTAGTTTTCGCGCACATAAATGCTAATACACTGCAAACAGACACCATGCAATCAATCACTTGCAATTTTATCAGAATATTTTTAAATACTGACATATTCTCATAACATCAATCAAAAAAATTTGAGCAAAGAAGCATATGACTTTTCAATTATGAAATCGACAAACAAAATCAATGTAGAACCTCGCACACAAGTGTAAATCTAAATTTAGGAATAGGAGTGAGATTAATATCCTTTACAGAAAAATGACTTGAACAGTACAGGAGTATACCCTCTGGAGTGTTTATTCTAGTTTTTTATGTAGTTCACAGATGGTTTGGTAGAATCCTTAAATTGCTGGGAAATAAACCAAGTTGGATTTTCTTAAATATTTTAGCATAAGAATTAGGAGAGGTGGTGGCACCGTATGCTGGCTGCTTGCAGATAACTTGTGTTGAAACATTTTTCTGAGCACTAAAGTGGTAAACACAACCACTGGTGCTTTAATTTGTAGTTGTGAACTGAGTTTCGAAACAACTTATTGTCAAACAATTCTTCGACTCATTACCACTCAAATTTTTAATTCGGTACAAAATACATATATAAGACGCCACAGAATAACTTACTTTTCTACCTTGTGTATAACTTGTCATCGAGAAAAGATTCCCCAAATTTAAACCACCTAATTTATGCGCCAACTTTGAAGGTGTTGTAATTGTATCCAGAACAGAAGCCAAAACACTCATTTTTTGACAAGAATGGTGATGATCACTTAATTCTGATATATCCATAGGCAGCCAACATCCATGACTCAGAAAATCTCCAGATGACTCCAAGATGTTAAGCAGGCATAACTGATTCACACTAGCTATCTTTTGTAAGCGCATATTCATACGTGATACAATTGATGTGTTATAGATAGGAACTGAAAAAATGAATGCTTTTGGAAACTCTTCAGTGATATTCTCTAAAAGTCGAAACCCAATCCCAGTAAAACCATCTTCAGCATCTACAAATAGTTGAAAGCTATTTGCGAGTGAACAACGTTCTGCTAAACGACGGATACGATCATCACATTCATCAGCTACCTTGTTTCCGGACCGATATAATCTTGGCCCTAAACAATTGTTAAACACACAAAACTAAGGCATGTGCATTGTAGTTTATATCAAAAAAAGACAACATAGATCATTAGGCAATATATTGTAATGGTTGACACCAGATACTTTCTTTTGAATTTTTTTACTTATTCATATGCCTTTAGTGAAAATAACCTGCTAAATATAATTAGTCCTCGCTAAATGTTATGTAATGAGACTAACAATTTTCCCTCCACTAGTCCCATAAACCAAGAGATAATAGCTATTTATAACTCCAAGGTGAATTCTTAGTGTTATACATCACCGGACGAGCAACACATGATGCTTAGAATAGTATATAGAGTCTTCGTCAGAAGGGATAGAGATGTATTTATCATGTTGCATCCAATATTGATCAAGAAAATCATGAATGCACAATCTTCCCCCTAACTGTAGATAGGATGTACTGAAACGGGTTCGAGTGAATTCTCCTATATCTATAATATGTAGCGTAGTCCAAAAATATGGAGGATCTAAAACGTTAAAACTTACTCTTCTTTCATCAAATAAATTTGAGACCACCAATGTCAAATTTACATCCTGAAGTGCTAACTTCGGATTCTAAGTCTTTTTCTGTTAATTATGGTAAGCCAGAATAGTGCTTCGTAGTTCGCCTTTCCAAAAACATCCACGATCGTGAAATACATCATAAAACCACTCCCGCTGAAGACACATTTCTCGTTTGTAACTAAATAAATAATGACTTTTATCATCTCAATCCACACAAAAGAATGGTATGAACAAAATCACATGTGCACAATAACAGCCGACTGGAAAAACCATAAGTACTGATCCATAAGTGACTGAAAGAAATACCAGTACCTACCTCAGTAAATGTCGAAAGACCAACTGTGGAATCAGTTTGATACGTTTCATCATGAACAAATTCGCTGAGAACTGGTTGCAATGATACTGGTAGTTTGAAAAGAATATCATCATGAGCCCATATCCGGCGTGCAGAAGGCGACAAGCAATTGACCCAATTACAAAAAGAATGTTTGTTGGCATTTGATTTTGGTGACGAACGTATGACTTGATCAACCTGACTGTTCCAAAGTGGTACATCAAATGAAGTTGGAATTAATTTGGATCTAGTTCAATCCCAAAATCAACGACTTCACGCACATCTATGGCCAATGCACGCGGTTTTAATTTACGAGTACTGTCATCGAACAGAACTTGATATGTAAAAGGAAACTCACATTCCGTAGCCTTTGACTTTTCAGAAAAGCCATATTCTTGTAAGTTCCAAAAATGAGTGCAGACCCGGTTCGCTAAGGGTCCTGCTTGGATAGTTATTACTTCACTCTGATTTGGTTGCATGGTTTAGAAATAGCTGGAAAAAGCCATTTACAAAGTATTTGACAGTACACAAACTGTAACAAACATTTATTGCATCAAAAACGTCGAGTTTAAGTAAAGTAACATGAATACTATAACATCTTTCGGAACAATTATTAAAAGATATGCTAAACGATCAAAATCGTTAAGAACCTATGCAGCAGTTTTTGATGACATTTATAAGGTCGTAAGAAGTTAGATGTGACGATAAAAAATGTCATGCTATAGGTTCTCGAATGCACACACAAACTGAGCAGCACTGAAGTGAGATATAATGATGAGGGTCAGGAAAGCAAATTATTTTAAGAAATGATAAACCTACACCCTGTAGGTCCATTGAAACTTATCAGATATCTCGACGAGCAATATTAACTAGAGTGGGATTAGACTGAAACAGGATTAAGGGTAATTAAACCAAGATGTGACACTGATTCACGAAGTCCTCGGTAGCTGGTTTGTCAACCAGTCGATATCAATATGCGACCTGACATTACCGATTAACGGTTAAGTTTGCTACGCCTCGTATCAACACATAGATGTGGAAGATATCAAGGTAAAAATAGAGAAATGAGGAAGTAATCAAAAGCAATGGAAACTCGTAAAAAAAATACAAGAATAAAACAATAATAAAACTCAGTGTGACGATTAAGATGATGTATGGGTGTATACGCACCAGTAAGATCGATTTAGAGTCATATCACGTGGGTTCCAAGAACCAATTACAGTCGTCATGCGGATCACAACCTGGAGGTCTGCATTACACTACATGGCCAGGATCAACAATCAGACTTCATGGGTTGGTGACATGTTTTAGTTTGGCAAGCTTTAAACCTTCCTAGCCCAAACCTACTTCAGCAACTCGATATAGTAAGTGACTAAGCATGGATACCATGTCCCAGCCACCTCAGTCGATGAGGTTACACAACCTCAGCAACTGACTTCTCACTTCTGTCCTAAACTCTACGCTTGACTTTGCGTTACTGACATGATGATATCATGACGCACGGCCTGTGCTATGAAGTCAACAGTGGTGGCAAACCTAAACCCTGCTCATGACCTTTATCTGTATTGTCCATGCTTCACAGACAAGTAGAACAGAGCAAACTGCATTCAGTACACTCGACCTTAATAGACAACCAGAGAGACAATGGTTTAAGTTGGAGGAAACCGAGCATTTTGCACTAATGTAAAGATTTCATCGATTTGCTAGCGTTGGTTCGAATTGTCAAGTTAAGTGGTCCCCACGCTCAACCACATCCTTCGAACGAAGCATCAAAGCAGACCGATCGTGGAGCAGAAAGTGGTGAGAAACGCATCTCAAACATTTCCAAACTGTCACTCAAAACGTTCAAAAGACCTGCATTTTGACCTAACAGGACTTTTATCTGCGTACTCTATGTATACTAAGAAACTTCTAGTGCAAATATCAGGTCTGATAAAGTCAGATAAGAAAGAGACCATTCAGACTCTTCCAGTGATAGATACGGAAATAATTCATCTTGATCAATCGCATAAAAGACCCCTTTCGGGTCGAGAAATATGGCTAGTGTCGGGCAGAAGTGAGTATCCTGTATTCTAAGACCTGGTCGATATACCCACGACCAAGTCTGCAATCTCCTTAATTTTTCCAGGCATTTTGTTCCCCAGATTCGCTTAGGTATCCGATGACTGCAGAACTGTGATCTTATGTACTATATTCGTCAAATTAGTTCCTTGTAGTCCTTATAGGACGACGTTTCCACTTTCTTGATGACTGGGACAATTAGCGAGTGAGACAAGTGAGAAGGGACCATATATGATTCCAGTGCTATGGCAAACATTTCAGGTAACTTAAACAATAATCCTCGGATAATAACCTATCTGGTCCTGCTGTCCTTCTGTGTCTAAAGTCGTTTACGCCTTCAAATTCTACAAGAGTTTGAGGGCTTGTCTCAGTATTCTATTCAGGATCCCCTTAGACAGCAGGCGAACGAAGAATACCTGGAGGTCAGTTGAATTGTCCACTGAAGTGTCCCACTACTGTTCCAATCGTTTCTTCTGTAAGTGAATCGCACACCTGTCCTTCTGCATTCATTCCTTTCTAACCATCGAAGTTTCTGTCCAGTCTAAACTACTGTTTTATGTTACCTATCGCGGATGCCTTTTCTACCTCTCGTCTTTTTTACCCACGACTTTTGCGTGCATTCTCTGTCAGCCTACACTTGAATTTCCTCTGCTCCTCAGTGTATCCAGAGCCTACAGGAATGGGTTTATGTGCACTCATCACTCAGAAGAAACTGCTGAGATCTACTCACCCTTTATAACCTTTTTCTGGAACTCAATATTGGTCCGCAGCGCTTTTTCTAACATAGTGTTAGTATTTTTCTAAGATAAATGACGCTGTGTTGTTCTGATAATCGTGTAGCAAGCTTTTCTTTCAAGATGCACTCCTCGGAAAATTCGAAGGTAAGCACATTCGTCCTCAGAAAATCAACATATCTTTGCAAATATTTCTTCACTGGCAAAAAAAATCATCCTAAATAGATTGTTCCAACCCTCCAAATATTTGCGAAATCCCTCAAACTTCACAATCGACAAACTCTCCAATCATTTCGAGAGCATCTGGGGAAATTTCTCAGTCACATCTCGAATGCCCAATTTCTTGTCGATGGGAATATGGATGTGTAAAACAGACCTAGTCTAAGCTAACGAAGTAGGGATAAAAAACGATAACCGTAACCAAAACTTAGAGCATCGCCTCGAACAACTAATATTGGCACACTTAAATTATCTTGAGATTTAATAAGGCGTCCCATAATGTTTGGTTCCTGTAGTTTAGCTGAGTCAAGGCTCACAAAAACAGTTGTTTCTATGTAAACCTTCATCTTCGTGGAAATGTGTCATTGCGCTAGTCAGTTGTTTGTCACTGTATGTAGCACATAATCCACACCTGTTCACTAAAAAGCCCAACTTCAAGTTTTAAAGACATTCAGATGGCCAGAACAGACCAAATATTTATTTCATCAGACGCAAGTAGAGGTTCGCGAAACAAACCAGTACTTAGGTCATTTTATGATCGTTGCACATTAATTCTTATTTTGCGGGTTCTTGTGCTAAACCCAATGTCATGCCTGAGGCTCGATAAGGTAACATAGAGGGAGTCTTCAGGTAGTCTACCATCACTGCGAGAAGGATTGCTTCTAGACGAAACGTTCTCTTACCTTTTAAGTGTGCACAGTTTCACTAGCTTCGCAGACATAAATTTCACGTATACAATCCTCAATGTGGACAGGTGTTGCTTGGTCGCCTTCCAGTTGGGTCTTGGGGTTGAAGGTTACCGGTGTCGCAACAACATTCCAGCAGGAGGGCTGGCCTGAGGAGCAACTTCTTAGCATAAACTAGATAAATAATCACTCAATATATCTAAATGATAGCTAGATAATCTTTCACGAGGTCAACGAGTGATTCTAGTGTTCTGAGTTTGTTCCAGTGTATGAACAGCCGTCTGTTTACATTCACCACTTTGCGTCTTCTTTGTTCTGATCAGTGGTAACTAGCTCAGAGTCCCTAGTTTAGGCATCATTAGACAGATCAGTAAACACCCTTCCCCTAACGTAACCTCGTTTCTGTAACCAATAAATACGCTACTTGTCTGAATGCTTTTTGCAAGTCATACAGTTCCTAATTCGTCTTTTGTTACCAGTACTTAACATACCATGCTTTTCTATGCTTTGCCACATTTTGAACGGAACAGTGGATAGGACAGTTGATCCGTGACCGGCAGGGCCTTTTCTGCGTCGTTTCTGTGCGGAAGATTTGATGCTACTTGTGTATTCACTACATTGTGGTCTACTTGTTGGTGAGCGAGGAGGTCCAATATGCATGATTCCCTCTATTTGATCTTATCAGCTGGATGTACTTGTGCTCAGGTAAGTAGTGTTCCTGTTGGACTCGACCATGCTTCAAACACCAAAGAGGTGAATACAACAACGGATACCTTTTCCACTGCGAGCTACACTTCCTGTGCCTGAAGAGGACAGGTACGAGAAGCAGGTGAATGATCTAATCACTATCGCCCTATAACCCGTGTGTTTAATAATAAGCGTTTCCTTTTCTGTGAAATGAAGAGGAACACTGTTGACATGGAATAAGGTAAAACTGCATGACACTCACAAATACGAACTTATGCACAAGGGATTATGAGGATAGACATCCAGCGGCTCTTTGTGTACTTTTTCACACCTTCATCAGTACTTTGAAACGTTGACCTTAACCTGTAGATGAGGCAACGTCACCATCGCCAGGAACTTCGCCAGCGGTGTCTACCTGTTTTTGACCAAAAGTCTTCATTCGTCTTCCGCAGGAACTCCTAAGCTAATGATGCTAGCAGTGGAAGAGGGTTGGACAGCCACCCATTTCAGCATCTTTTAGGCGGCTGCACTTGTGATGTCTTGATGTTGCACCCTATCAATGACGAAAAGCCTCTCCCTTCTGGTGGCGAGCCTGAATGACCCATCGCATGGCTGTTTTAAAGGTTTCGGCACGACACGATACGACAACGTACTAAGATGTGTGTGCCATCCTGAAGCATTTTATCTAATGCACCTGTCCACATAGTATTCATGTAGATATGCGTTGGAGACGACACGTGTGATGCTTGGGCGTTTGAGCGCAACCATGGATATCGGTAAGTGTTGGGACACCAAAGCCTGACGCAACCAGTTCACTGGGCAAACGTAGGTTACTTCCGCAAACCAACTCAAATGGAGTACACCTCATGTCCGTCTTGGGTGTCGGAGGAACACTGACAAGAATAAACAACACAGTTTCAGTTCATCTCGGGTCGTTGACCTCCGTTGCTTAAGATTTAAAGTGTCCATGAAAGCGTCCCGCAAAACCATTAGACGTTGGATGA